CGTCTAGAAGAGGTGATAAGGCGCTATATCAAATGCAAGGATTATTATTATCTATGAAGTACCTTGCATTTCTGTCCTTTGGATGAAATGTTGAAACCAAGCTCTGTTTCTCCTTTGTATCCTGGCCAAAAATCCCCTCGATAACAAACTGGTGATTCACTTAATGGCTGTTTTGTGGGATATGTCTGTGTGCAATTTAGCTGTCATGTTCACCTACAGATACAGGCTTTCCAGCAAAAGCTCTGAAGCACCTTGAAATGTTTCAGCATTGTAAACCACTATCGATGCAAGGATTTTTTTCTCCTAGAAGATTTCTACGAATGTTTATTATTAATCTTGAATTTGGTATAATGCCTTAGGTTGTTATCAAAAGATTTTAAAGCACTTCACAAGGTTTACTGTAGTGTAGTGGCTGTATTTTCTGTCGTGCCTAATCACTAAATGTTTACACTTTGACATTCTGTTGATACCTATAATATTCACATCACCATTTTGTGCCATATTTTTGCTAGAGAAATACTTACAATGCCAAATCATGGCTTGTGGGATGTTCTTGATTCCGCACCTTGGTTTCTACTGCTCTACACTTCACCCCAGTGACTTCACTCAACTTCCTGTAAATGGACTGAAGACTAAAACTTATAATCAACCATAACATTTACTGTGCTCCGAGTTATAAGAGGAGTGCTTGAACCCGATAGCCGGCTGGTCATCTTTTATGGTTGCAGTTTCGATGGTTAGAAGCTAGAATAGCCCTGTGATATCAGGTTCAAGCACTTCACTTATAACTCGGAGCATTTTGCTCCTCATGAGCACTACAGCTCAAATGGCCGTTCATTCTGTGAACTTCCAAGAGTAGTTTACTCCGTGCACGTTTTTTGGTATTTTCTTTTTCTGGAGCTTTGCTTTGCTAGAGTTAGTATAATCGTTGTGGTTGCGCCCTGTTTTTCTTTGGCTGCATCTCACATGACCTAGACGTGTTAAAACCTTGGGCTTCAGGGTTGCGGGGTCAGTTAACTGGAGTTGAGGTTTCAGTGAGAGCTACATAGATGTACAGATATAAAACACTTTGTTGCAGAAGCTCCATTAAAAGCAAGAGAGGGAGCCTCAATTACAGTGTGATCGGACTTGGAATCCATCTCATTTGGGTTGGGGGCGAAGGGACGAAGGATTAGAATAAGATGGTTTCTCCAGAGAAGCCGGTAACCCTTCAACAACAACTCGAAACCTACACTTATGTAGCGCCCTCCCCGCAGGGCAGCGTCTCAGAGCGCTTAAACCTTTATACTGTAACAGCAAGAGAGAGAGCAAGGTTACCGACCCACTTGCCTTCAGTTACTTCAGAAGGGAATAAATTCAGTGCCCCGGTTATTAAAGAAATATGCTTAGTTACATTGTAAAATTGTGATGACCCAGTATTAAGCAATCAGTCAGTCACGCTTGTAACTGTTAATCCAATACCTCCTCGAATGTGATTGAATTGCCGAGACTGTGCTACACATTATCCATCTATTAGAGTGGGTGTGTGAAAGCCATTCCTGTTCTTATGCTGTAATTTTGCTTTCAGCTCCTGCTATGCTTTTTTTTTACAAAAAAGTGGGGAAACTCATTAAAATATTGGTGGCAATGCTGTATGTAATTAATCTCTCCATCGTTGTGTGGCAGTTTTTTTAAATTACTGATCAAAGTTTTGGCAAAGTTTTTTTTGTGGTGTTTCTCCACCAGTGCTAACCTTCATTGATATCAATGAAATTGTTTAGATGTCATAAACTCTTGCCAAGATATTCATAGGACAGTTTCTTATAGTATGGAAAAACCAAGGAAGACACTAGTTCAGAAGCTCCAGAAACCTCTTCAGTGATAGATTTGTGAATATTTGAGCATTGCTTACTGAGACATTTTGCAGGGTGGAGAGATTTGAATGTATAATAATAATCCTTTGCATTTGATATAACACCTTATCACGTCTTCGAGATGTCTCAAAGCACATTACGTTACCCCTACTACCCGTTTGCTCCCTCCGCTCGGCGGGCTCCGGCCTGCTTCACGTTCCCCCACCTTGCTCACCCCACTATTGGCGGGCGGGCCTTCTGCCACTCAGCATCCACCCTCTGGAACCTCATCTCGCAGTCCCTCCGTCTCGCCCCCTCCCTCACCACCTTCAAGACCCTCCTCTTCTCCTGTGCTTTTGATCTGCCTGCTTCACCCGCTGACCTCCACCCTCCCCCACCCTGACCCCCAGCTCGCGTCTGTAACTCTGTTCAGCACCTTGGGACGTCCTCCGACATGAAAGGCGTTATACAAATGTAATTTTGTTGTTGTTACAGAATATACCATAAAGTGAATTTACTGTATATTTTGTGGGTAAATTAATCCCAATATCACATTAATCTTCAGGACTGACTTGGATCATTTTCCCCCTATCTCTCTGGTTATTGGGGTACACTTCCAAGGTGCTGTTTCATGTGACAGCCTGGATGGTTAATATCAAGACTCTTTGATGGTACAGACATTCGAACCAAGCATGATCTTGTCCTCGTATTGCTCTATTACCCTCCATCCATGTCCAAACCTTAACATTAAGTCACTAGATTGTGATCAAGAATAACTGATTTTTTTTTCAATCTTCATGGCCTGGGGCGGGGGGAGTGGGGGGTAAAACAGCTGATTTCAGTACAGACTAGAATTTGCAACCTGTGAACCTGAGGGTGTTTGAGGGTCCAGTTTATTTTTGAATGAGAGGGAAGAAAAGGGAAAATACTGCAGATGCCAGAAATCTGAAATTAAAAACAGAAGTCGCTGGGAACACTCAGCAGGTCAGGCAGCATCTGTGGAGAGAGGAAAATGAGTTAATGTTTTAAGTCGATGATCTTTCATCAGAACCTTTATTTTTAAATGCTTCAGTTTTATCTGAATTTGCTTCTCCAAGTGGCAAGTTCTTTTCATATTGAGCAATTTTTGAGTACGAAGTTGTTGACAAATGAAAGAGCATCTTGTAGGTATTATGTAGTTCTGTTTCAGGATTTATCAGTCTGGAATGAGAACGACTACACTGTGAGATGACTTGTGCAGAATGCTCAAGCTGATGGCAAAGTGGCAAAGTGATGGCAAAGTGCTCCTTCGAGCTGTGGTTATTGTGTGAAAATGCCACTTGCTGTTGAAAGGCCATCGATAAGTAATCACTCAATAATGCTCCAGCAGCGATTGCTTTGTGTAAAGAGTCTTGTATGTCTTTTGTCCATAATACAATCCCTGGGTACACTCTCTATTTAATCTGCAAATAACTTTTTTTTTTAAAAAGTTCAAAACTGCTGTTAAAGGGGATTGTCAGAGCGGCAGATCAACAACAACATCATTACATGTGTAAAGCGCCTTTCACGTCAGGAGGACGTCCCAAGCCGCTGGACAGACAGAATTTTGGACCCGAGTTGGGGAGGGTGGAGGGCAGGGGGGGGGAAGCAGGGAGATCGAAAGCAAGATCGAAGAGGAGAGTCTTGAGATGGGTCTTGAAGGAGGCCAGGGAGGGGGCGAGGAGGAGGGACTGCGGGATGGAGGGTGGGGGCAGAAGGCCCGCCTGCCAATAGTGGGGCGAGTGAGGCCGGGGACACTGAGTGGAGCGAGCGAGCAGGATGGTTTAGGAGGTCGCAGAGATAATGGGGAGTATTCAAAACTCATTGCTTCATTCTATCTTAAGCCAAGACTTCCAAATTACTGTATTATTCCAAATATAAAACAATCTCAATTATAAGGAGATTGCCTTATTCCTTCCCACCCGCCTCCACCCAATTTTCAGTTATGGTTCAGCAGTTTGATTAAAGCACAATAAGGTTTGTGTGGCTTGTCTGGGAGCAAAGAGGTTTAAATACCACAACCATTGATGTAACTTGCAGGATTGATTTAGATACTTTAGAAATCAGCAGTAGAAGGGTTCTGGAAACCCCACTGAAATCATTCATGGGCACAAATTGAGATGAGGCTTAGTATGTGAATTCTGCATAGAGAGAGTGCAGATATGTTTGTGGACAATATTGTGCTGCTGGCGGACTCAACTGGGGATCTTTTATGCTGCACTCACCATCTTGGTCACTCAATCCACAACTGTTTGTGGGACACTGCTGTGTACAATTGGCTGCCGTGGTTCACCCACAAACTATACAGTCAATTCACTTCACAGTATATTTTGTGAAGGGCTTTGAGACATCCTGAAAGCGTGATAAGGCGTGATATCAAATGCAAGGATTACTTATTTATCTTTAACACTGGGTCCCCAGAGCAAACCGGTGGTGGATGCCCCCAAGTGTGGAATCCTAGTTCTGCACAATGCAAGTGAAGATATTGAGGGTATCGATTGGAAGATACAAAGCATCAGTGTCCCAATTGTTGATTTTATTGGTTACCTGGGGGTTGTGGTGGGCAAGTGGAACCTTTGCTTGGACACTGTATAGGTGGGATGCATCGTACTCTGGTTTTGATACTCGTAAACACGGTGATTGGTTTCAGCCTGTGTCAGACCAAAAAAAAAACCCCACATAGGTTAGGGTTTCACTATCTTGTTCAACAAAACCACAAAATGTGAGCTGTTTAGACTTGGTTATCGCAAGGACGTGTAGATGTGCACGGTACTTGCAAGCAGTTAGACACCCACGTAAGAGTTGTGGACAGGAGAGGAGTGACTTTGCAGTGTTGAGCTGGGTGGAGTTTCTGCAGTGCTGCATTTAATACTTCAATATGTAAACCTCCAGATATGCATGTTTTTTTTAGGAATAATATTCAGATCACCTAGCATTACAGTGGTGCAGTGTTTTGGCATGTCAGCCTAATGGGCCAACAGTATGTTCAATCATTTAGCGGGGTACAGCTTCCTTTTGTCTCAATCTAATAAAATATCATTAAACCTGTTTTGCATGTTTGATGCTCTGGGTCTCTAATATTGAACCCAGAAAATCTCTTAACTGGTCCATGTTGCATTGCAGTGAAATATTTATGTTTGTATTTTGCAGTTCAGCCTATGACAATATGAATAAAGGTTGTGTGGACAAAGTTCGTGTGGCCATTAAAAAGATCAGCCCCTTCGAACATCAGACGTACTGCCAGAGAACCCTTCGTGAGATTAAAATCCTCCTGCGCTTCAAACATGAGAATATCATTGGCATCAACGATATCATCCGTGCACCCACCATTGACCAGATGAAAGATGTGTATCCTTCCAGGTCTCCAGAAAGCTGGGTCCAGCTGTCCTTAAGAATCGTTGGTTTTATTTTGTTGTAATATGGAACATTTTGGGGTAAAAATGTGCTTAAGGTCAGACACTTGGGTTTATCCAGAAACATGACCATTGAATTCCTATCAAGTGCTTGTTGTCTGAACCACAATAAGTGGCACACTCCTTTTACCTCTGGGTCGGGAGCTTGAATGTAGCATTTGACTGAAGTGAAGAAAATCTCACTGCTTGGGTGAAATGATTGACAATTTCACTCTAGTTCCAAGTAAAATGCTCAAAACAGCCCTTAATTTGATACCATGTAGTTACCTCACACTCTGCACTGCATTTATTCTGTATAATACAGTTACAGTGCTGCTGGCAATCCGTATCCTCCACAATCTGTTATTAGAGTGCTAATATTTAAGTTTTTTTTATTTTATACATGCATAGACATAGAAACAGGAGTAGGCTATTCAGCCTCTTGAGCCTGTTCCACCATTTTATAAGATCATGGCTGATCTATACCTCAAGTCCAGTTACCTGCCCTTGTCCCATATCCCTTAGTACCCTGACCCAGCAAATATTTATTTACCTCCATCTTGAAAATGTTGTTAATTAATCACTCCTTTGGACAAGTTACCTGACATATTTTACATTGTGTAACCATTTTCAGAAGATTGTGGCCTCCTTGACTTTCCTGCAGGTACATTGTACAGGATCTGATGGAAACTGATCTGTATAAACTGCTGAAGACTCAGCACCTTAGCAATGATCATATCTGCTACTTCCTGTATCAGATCCTGAGAGGGTTAAAATATATCCACTCTGCCAATGTCCTTCATCGGGATCTCAAGCCATCCAACCTACTGCTTAACACCACCTGCGACTTGAAGGTTAGTTTTCACTTTTGTTTTTACTAAAGAACTATTTGTGTGAGGACAGGTCAGTAAGTTAGTGCATCAAGATTGCATTTTGTCCATAAAATATTCACTTTATATTATTTTCTGTAAAGTGCTTGAGACGTCTCGAAGACATAAGGTGTTATATCAAATGGAAAGATTGTTGTTATTATCAAAGATCTGAAGAATGTGTGGTCAGTACCAGTGTTTCTAAAGTCAAATGGATTATCTCCTTAGGGTGAGGTGTATAGTCATAGGGAGAAGGAAAAGTAAATCAAGATAGTCTTGCACAGGTGTTGGACAGTTTATTGGCGGATGTCTGGAAATGGGCTACTCAGAGTGCTATGTTACACCAGGATAATGTAGAGGTGAAAATGAATGAGGCAGTGTTCCAAAATGTTATTCCAATGACAGAAAGGATAAAGTAATTGGGTCACTTTACTTGAATGTTTTTATGGGGCTGTTCTCCTCATGGATAAAAGCCTAGTTGCTGAAGAAAATGGTTTATTCTGGGGAGCTGTGTAGGTAGAATGATTTAATACAATTATGAAGAATTCATTATTGCATAATAAAAACTATAGCACTAATGTGGACTTTTTTTTTTAAATCGCTTTCTGCTTCACTGCTGCTATTTCATCCAGACACGTACAGAGCTTTGAGGCAGTGGGGTGGAACACACAGCTGTCATAACTTGGACCTGGGTTACAATTCATGCTCAAATGGTTGTAGGAGGGTTTCCTTCCTACTGAATGTCCTTTGTCAAATAGGTTTGGGCAATTCAGTCCAGTTTCTACATCTGTTTGGATGCTGTGATGTTGCTAATTCAGTCGGACTATAGCAATTGATTTTAAGATACATTGTTAGATACTAGAGAAAGAGGGAGATGCTCTGATGATGCCTGTGTGCAAGATGTGGGCGGATGCTCCCAATTGAATTCCCTCAGCAGGAAGAAATTACTTGTAAACGTTGCGGTGTCGTACTATAGCTGGAGCCCGTTTAGAGTTGAGCTCATTCGGATAACAAAGCCTGTCAACTGTCTTTTTTTAATCTAAAAAGGATGTCCAAAATGTTTCTAATTTTCTCCCCACTGGAATGCAGTTCTGTGAGCGGTGGTGAGCCCCGATATCCCTGCCCAAGTGACCGTTATTCACGTGTGAGCCTTGGCAGTGATGGTCAGCAGACCAGTTGACCGCAGACGGAGTCACAGCCAAGCCTACCCCCCTCCCCATCTGGCTGTCACACGCAGTGACAACCCGTAGAGGATGCTGAAGAGAAACTAGGAGCAGAAGCCCTGTCTAGTTTTTAACTCCCTGACCCTGCAAAGGTCAGGGCCAATTTAGCCTTTCCATGCAACCAACAACAACAAATTCTGTTTGTATAGTGCCTTTCACGTCGGGAGGATATCTCAAGGTGCTGGAGAGTCAGTGATTTGGATCCAAGCAGGGGGCTGGCATTAGGAGGAGTGGAAGGCAAGGAAGGCAGGAGGAGGAGGGTGACTAAAGGCACGGTCGAAGAGGAGAGTCTTTGGGGCATGCCTTGAAGAAGGCAAGGGAGGGAGTAAGGTGAAGAGACGGGTGGAATTCCAAAGGAATACCATCCCACAATCCCTTTGCAAACCCAGCAAGCTCCTGGTCTGTAAGCAGCAATTCTATCCACTCTGCTATTTGGGAGCTGATCCATTTGAGTTATTTTCAGGTATATATTGAATAAATAATGCAAAAACGAGAGTATTTATAAACTATTGTAACTGCAGTATTCCTGTGTCAGAATCAGTTATTTTCCAACTCCCATCTTCTCCCTGCCTGTGTTTTTTTTTGTGTGTGGTGGACATTTAGCCATCTTCTCTGGTGTCTGATGAGTTGGAGGATGTGCAGATGTGCAATTTTTTTTCACAAGCAAACTATATTTCAAGATAATTTTGCTGTGTTGAACTGACTTCAAGGTGACATTCCGGCAACAGAAAGTCAGAATTGAGCCAAGGTGGTCTTGGTTGTCCAGTTTCTCAGCCCGGCGAGTCCGCAGTACTCCAGGGCACTGCTGATGGTAGCACAGCCCAGCCTGGCTCATCAGCAGGACCTGGAAAGGCAATCGGGGCTCCTGTTCCCCCTGCAAGCCAGAGTCCTAATGGGAAAGGTGATCCTAGCTGGACAAGCAGCAAGAATGCTTGACAGACAATGCTATCAATAGCAAGTTTGCAGTTTTTAGCTGGTTAGACTCCCAGCAGGACCCCAAAGCTACCCGTGAGGACCCTAAGCCTTAGCTCTTGCCATCTGCATCTAATATTCTCTGGAATTAGGAAAGCAGGATGCAGCCCCTCCAGGGTGAGAGCGTGCATTATTCTATGCCAATAAATATATCTAGAATTTCCATGAATTAGTAAGAACTCTAGTTTGGATACTCTTTAAGCATAATGATGGATTTCTGCGTGTCAGACACCCGACTGACCAAAATAATATTGGATGGTTTGCTGGATTTAGTGCTGACAGTGCATTTGTCACTCCTTTTCACCTACATTCCACAGGTGGCCTGCCTGTTGCAGGCTGATTTCATTAATCATGGCTGGGTTAAATGGCTAATGTGACATTGCTGCTGTTGGAAACCATTACCAGTATAAGTAATAAAGTGCGCCCTGGGGTAAGTGGCCTGTTCAGTTATAATCGATTAGATTCAACCACCATATTAAGCTTGATTCAGACATACAGGATGGACTGAGGTTTGGCACTGTGCCGAATCCTACACGAGTTTCCACTAAGAACCTCAAATAATAATCGGTCTCCACTTACCCAGATAATAGTTCATTCTGGGGATAGCTTTAAAAATACTGCTATTGAGGAACTGCTAATAAAGCCATAAAACTAACCCATTGCATCCGAGTGCAAGGCTAATCCAGAAAGATGGATAGGATTGAACTTAATGAGAGTGCAATGAACTTTCCTGAATTGTGGAATATTCATTGCTAGAGTTCAAGGAGGCCTCTAGTTTGAAAGGAAAGGAAATTGATATTCATGCCTAAACTAATGTAACATTTATAGACTATTCAGATTGCATATTTAAAATGTAAAACCCTTTACTGGAATTGTTTGGCTAATGCAATCCAATTTCTTGTACCATTAAGTAAATTTATCGACTAACTACAAAATGCAAATTAATCTGCATGCATTGCCAGTGTAGGATCTCTAATGCAGTGCTAGATCTAATTGAAGTGTTTAAAATAATAAAGGGATTCGATAGAGGAGATACAGAGCAACTTATTTCCTCTGGAAGGGGAATCCAGAACAAGGGGGCATAATTTTAAAATTAGAGCGAGGCCATATAGAAGTGAAATCAGGGGCAGTTTTTCACTCAGAGGTTAGTGGAAATCTGGAACTCTCCCCCAAAAGGCTGTAGATGCTGGATCCATTCACATCTTTAAGACTGAGGTGGATAGATATTTGTTAGGTCAGGGTATTAAGTCATACGGGGCAAGGGCGGGTAATTGGACTTGAGGTACAGATCAGCCCTGATCTTATAGAATGGCGGAACAGACTCAAGGGGCTGAATGGCCTCTTCCTGTTTCTATGTTTCTAGATTGTCAGAGGTGCCATCCTTCGCATGAGATATGAAACCAGCTCCTCCCTCTCTGTTCCGATGGATGTTAAAGCGCTGTGTGAAAAGAGAAGGCAGTGTCTCCTAGTGAACTTGGCTGCTGGAAACTGTTGCTGCCAGTTCAGCACCCTTTTAGAAAGCTGTCCATTTAATACATTTTTTTTTATCCTTCAGATAAAATTGGTCATTCATTTTGTGGCTAAGGGATGTTGTCGTGTGCAAATTGCCCGGTGCTTTTGCCTCAAATACACAATCACTACCCTTTGCAATACAATCCTGTGAAGTGCTTTTAACGGTTTGATGAGATGATTACGTGCTACGTCACATGCAACAATTCTTTTTCAAAAACTTCAATGATTTGCAAACATAATAGTACACCTGGCATTTAGAGGAGTGTTATTTGAATAGTCCATGAAAATAATATGCCACGGGAGAGATTGGTCTTGAAATACAATCCACAGCAAGAAGATTATTTTAAGTGTGTGTGGTGGTGGGGGTGGGGGGAGGGTTAATATAACATGCGAGCTCTTGCATTTGTTCACACCCAACCAGTGATTGAGAGTGACCAGGAAGTCACTGCATACCCACCAAGGAAGTTCCCCAGTATGTGAACCTGTGCTACTAATAGTCTCTTCACCAGGAGACAATTGAGATCAAACTTTTAGATTATGAGGGCAGAGGAATAGTCAACTGGTTTTGTCACTCCAATCCACCTCCCAGTTGGGTTTGTTCCTTCCTGGCCAAGTTACAAAGCATTGCACGGATATGTGGCACTTTTTGAGTGAAAGTCTTCTGTGCTTATTTTCTTTCCAGCTGTCTCTTCCAAAACCTAAAACACACCGTCAGATGTAGTCTGGCTGCTGCTGTGCTCCACTGTTCTTGCTCCTCAGTGTTCTTTCTCTATGATCTCATGCTTCTAATGGCAGCAGTTGCCTTGGATGTCTAACTGTAGTGTAGGCTGATGGCCATAAAATAAAGTGCTTCCTACTACTACTACTACAGCTGTTGGCTACTCGCTAGATTTGAGACAAGAATATTATTTTTCTTTGAGACCTGTAAGTAGCTTTCAATGGGAAGAACATTGAAGGGAATTTGCTGTGTGTAACTGATCTTCGATGTAAAAGCAATGGAGAACAATCCGATGCACAGATACCATAAGTTGCGATGCATTAGTATGAATCAATAGTGCATTTCCCCTCTTTTACAAGTGTTAATGGTATTCAAATGTAATGTCATCTATCATGTTTATTCTAATGAATTGATACCTACTAGGAATTCTTTCAGACCTGTGCAGTTCCTTTGCTCCCGCACTTTGCCGAAGAATAAAATAAATAGGGTTACTGTTTTTCGGTGTTTGTTCATTTTGTTTTTCGGGGTTTTTTAAAGAAAATTTTCGAGTGTTTCTAAATTGTTTTTTTGGGGAGGGTTTTGTTACTGTTATGAGAAGACACACCTACACACACGGAGGGTAGAAGCACCCTCATATGTGCAGTGCCTCCCTCCTCGCGTACAAACGCTTCACTAGACGTACCTGACAAATGCTTCACTAGACACTAGACTGCACACACAGGAAAGGTGGGTGGAGAGTGAGAGTAATGCAAGTGCAGTTGACGCATGAGGGTGCGCTAGTCACACTAGAACATCTGAACAGAACCTCACCTCGGAGTTCAGTAATCATTTCCGGTTTCTGTCGGATGGACATCAATTTCATTTTTTTGTATCAAGGGTAACTGGTATTTATTAGTTAAAACCAAATATCAGAAGCCCTAAGAATAAGGTGCAAGTTAATAGCATATTTCCCCGTCTGATCTTGGCTATCAAAAGTAGTGAAGCAAATTAATAAATCACCATGAACCAAGGTCTTATTTCAATAATGTTGGTTGAAAATCAGATTGAGTTGTCTCCCAACTTCCTAAACTAAGAAATTAAGAGTGGTGTCTAAGACTGCAGTTAGACTCCTGCAGTGCCCCTAAAAATGGGGCTGTGTTATGTGGGTAGAGCCAGTCTAGTTACTTGCCTGCAAAAGTCTCACACCTCACAAACCTGTTCATTTTGGTGTATGTGCTCCTACTGACTGGTGTTAAACTATACATTCAGTATTGATGTTACATTCCAAGCTTCCTTTATTCATTTATTTTTTCATAAACTGGATAAACATGTTGGCCTTTTATTACTTGGAGGGCAGATCTCGGGTGTTTTGAGAATATGAAACTAAGACTTACTAATTTTACAGCTGGTTTTAAGAGTCTAATATTGTTGTAATCCATAATGATATTAAATGATAGACGTTGAGCTTCCAAGGCTCAGCATCCAAGGCTGCACTCTCCACCTCTCAAAGCCAGTCAGGAACCTCGGCGTTTTGTTCGACCCTGAGCTGTCCTTTCTCCCTCACATCCGCACCACAACTGGCACCGCCTTCCATCACCTCCGGAATATCGCCAGACTACGGCACTACCTCACCCCTCACGCTGCTGAAACCCTGGTTCACGCCTTTGTCACCTCAAGGCTGGACTATGGGAACTCTCTCCTCGCCGGCCTTCCCGCCACCTCCCTCCACACTGCAGGTCATTCAGAACTCTGCAGCTCGTGTACTGTCCCGCACCAGACACCGCGACCACATCACTCCCACCCTCGCTCGCCTCCACTGGCTCCCCATCCCCCAGAGGATTGATTTCAAGATCCTCATCCTCACCTACAAGGCCATTCACGGCCTTGCTCCCTCCTACCTCTCCAACCTACTATCCCCCTACCTACCTGCCCGTACCCTCCGTTCCTCTGGCTCCGGTCTGCTCCACGTCCCCCGCCCCAACCGCCCTACCATCGGTGGTCGGGCCTTCAGCCTCTCAGCCCCGAGGCTCTGGAACTCCATCCCCCAGTGCCTTCGCCGCTTCCTCCCTTTCCTCCTTCAAGGCCGGTCTCAAAACCTTTCTCTTTGACCGTGCCTTCAGCTCCCCTCTCGACTCTCTTCCTCCTCCTCGCTCCCTCCCTTCCCTCCCCTCACCCTGACCATTTCCCCCTCCTCTCTCCCTCCCTTCCCTCCCCTCACCCTGACCATTTCCCCCCTCCTCGGGTCATGACCCAACTGTNGCAGCGCCTTGGGACGTCCTCCTGACGTGAAAGGCGCTCTATAAATGGAATCTTGTTGTTGTTGAGCTGTTCTGACGGCCTGGCAGCAGTGCCTTCCTGCAGCTCAGTTCAGTTTGTATGGTGTCCATTGGATACAATTTTTATTGTATTTTGGCGACTTTATCTCTGTTTTGCTAATAGTTCTAGGAGTAATTTTCCGATGCAGAGGGGCTGCGATCTGACCTAACATCTCCTGGGTTAGTTTCCTTTGTATCAAACTGAATTACAGTGCTGTGCAATCCAAGCGTGTTCCATTGTGGAGACACACTGGAGCCCTACGCCGACCGGTTCACAGAGCAATGTGAGTGGAAAAGGATGAATCTCTTCTGGGTTTGAAAGGCACTGTACAAATGTAGTGGTGGTGTTGTAAGGTTTGCCTGTGTGCATTTGCACTCCCGGTGTTCAATCCGAGACAAAGCAACTTTTGCAGTCTCATCCCGAGCTCTTATCCTGAACCTGCCTGATCCAGCTTGTTTTACCATAGCCTTGAGATGAAAGGTTTCGGGGCCTTGGGCGGATCGTAAAATGACCTTTACCTTGATTGTTAGATCTTGTTTCTAATGGAAGTGCCATTTGGGTCGTGACAAGTGTGACTGACACTGACCAGGCTTTGTATAATGCTAATTCTCTGTCCTCTTATTCAAATGTTACCAGTTATCTTTGTGCCTAGAGCTGCGGGTGCTGTAATCCCACTGTCCTGTGTTAATCCAAAAGGATAAATAAAAGTAACCAGTTTCTCCCCCTCTCCCTCCTACAGATCTGTGACTTTGGACTGGCTCGTGTTGCTGACCCAGACCATGATCACACTGGGTTCCTCACAGAGTACGTTGCTACCCGTTGGTACAGAGCCCCCGAGATCATGCTCAATTCCAAGGTAAGTTTGGTGACTTGCATTTACTTATCTATCTGTATTATGTACACACTGTATTGTTGCGAATATAAGGTGATGCACTCTCTTTCTCCCCCTGCCCCAATTTTCATAGTTCAATGGGGGCAGGGTTAAACAAATGTGAAATACGGTCATGTTGAACACTGAGTGTAGAACACTATTATCAGTCTATTCAAGTTACCCTAATAATAGTGAAAATGTTTCATCATTTTAAAATTATGACATCACCCTAATAGGGTGGTTCTAGTTGGGCAAGCAGTGGTAAGTTTGCCAGACCGTGCTTCCAATGCCAAGCCAGCTGGTTAAACCCCAGCAGTACTTTAATACAGTACTGTATGTGTGTGTCCTAACACGCTCTTTCTCTCTCTAAATTGCACATTGCGTGCGTGATATTAGGCCCGTTATTTTGCTGCAGAGTGGTGAAATTGTGTCCCAAATACCTTTGCTCGTGCATAAATGCAACTGGAATTTTCTTTTTGCCTGCGTCTCTCAGCCTGCTCCATTAATCTAAGATGCATTTTTGGAATTTTCTTTGGGTGTGTGGGGTGGGGCGGGTAGAAGAAATCTTGCCTTGTATTCAGAAAATACTGGACGCTGCGATCTTCACAATTTCATAAGAGCTGTTTGAACCCATATCTGTTTCACGGACTTGAATAGCTACACAGGTCCAAATTCGTAAACTTTTTTTTATATTTATCAATTACTGTGTCTTCAGTCTAATTGTTCCAATGAAATTTTCTTTGGATCAAGATTTTTGAGGTTAGAGAGGAAAGCGCTCTGGCTATCAAAAGGAAGTGCCGTGTGTGGCCATTACTTTAGAACAAATTGTTACTGAAAAGAATGGCTTAATGGGCTTCCATCCATAATTGATCACATGTTGTTGCGCAGGATTAAATTCCATGCTATAAATGACTTCATATTCATTTTATAAGCTCGGCTATGCCAACGCCTTGCTTGTCGGCCTTCCGAACTCTTCCCTCCACAAGCTGCAGATCATCCAGACCTCTGCGGCTCATGTCCTCTCCCGCACCAGGCTCTGTGACCCCATCACCCCAAAAATGCCTGGCTCCACTGGCTCTCCATCCCTCAGAGGATAGAGTTCAAAATCCTCGTCCTCACCTTCAAGGCCCTCCACGGCCTTGCCCCCTCCTACCTCTCCAACCTGCCAACCCCTTATCAACCTGTCCGCTCCCTCCGCTCAGCAGGCCCAGGCCTCCTTCATGTCGCCTGCCCGGCCTGTCCCACCATCCACCCTCAGCCTCTCTGCCCCACCCTCTGGAACTCCATCCCATGTTCCCTCTGCCTCGCTCCCTCTCTTGCTTCCTTCAAGGCACAACCTTAAGACCCTCCGCTTCGACCGTGCCTTCGACCACCCTCCTACTCCCACCCTCCCTGTCTTCCACCCTCCCTGGTCCCTGATTGTTCAGCATCTTGGGACATCCTCCTGACGTGAAAAGCGCTGTGTAAATGTAATTTTCTATTGTATACAATATCGAGCCAGACTAGATGACTTTTCGTTTACCGTCATGGTTTTGGTGTTCAGCACAATAATACATTGCCACTTCCCCTGCAGTTTTAATCCATGTATAATGCTGACGCAAGTATGAAAGGTCACATCATAGGCAGCTTGGTACCAAGTGTTGAGATGGTCTTCAAAGAAAAAGCATTTCCAACTTGAAAGAACCCTTTTAACTTATTTTGAAAATATCCAAGTTTTCAATTGTCTGGAAAAATTGGAGCAGAGCTTAAAGTAATGATTTTCCCAAAAAAATGTCTAAAGGGTATTTTGATGTATTTTTTTAAAAAAAATCTCAATTGTTTCATTATGGAAAGGTTCTTTTTAGAAGCGATATCACTTTGCCATCTCTATTCCAAGGAGTTGATCTATCTCGCTACAAATTTGAAGTTATTAAAAGCTAAGAAGATAATAGTAGCAAAAGCTGCTAAAATAGTTGGTTATGTTCCCAGTATTTGCTGTATAATGCTCCAATCAGCTGATTGCAAGTTAAATGCATTTGTACGTGTGTCTGGAGTTCAGATGTGAATAGCCCAGATTGAAAATCACAGCTGTATTCTTTTATCTTTACTAACTTTCCAGCAGGTTTACTGTAGCTCAAACTGAAACGCCATTTAAAAGGAACTGAATAAACATATTTGAAGAATAGGAAAGAGTAAAGAATTTTGGATTTGAGTAGTTTCAGTCTTCAAATGAGCTAATATTAGTTTGTGCTCTGAGGCAATAGCCTGACCCTTGCTCCTACTTACTTACTATTTACTAATTTATTCACTTCTAGGGATGGTAATAAGGCGCCCTGGCTGATTATTGTGTGTTTCCGCAAACCCTTATCCCAGGGATTTTGAAGGCCCCACAATTGTGGCTAAAATCTGCTAATTCAGCATGAAATGTAGACATCAGTCAGAGGTCACTTGCTGCTCTTAGCTTAATAATGGTGTTCATATTGGGTCCAAAAAAAGAGAGCCCTAAGAATTTCTAATTATTAATCCCATTCTTTTCAGTTCCCCCCCCCCCACCCACCCACGTACTCCTTGGGTGCCTCACCAGCCGTGTTAATTGCTTTGACATGTCCTTTATTTTGTATGCTCAACATTCCTTGGCATGTTTGGGCAACCATTCCATGCTTCAACCTCAAAAGAGAAAGGAAATACTTTGGATTATGACAAAATGGCTCTTGATTAATTGCAAACTATGAGCAATCTTCCGTTTGTGGCCTATATTCTAGACTAGTTACATATTTAAGGGTTTAGCTGTACGTCATCTGAGTCTGGGAACATGCTGTGCTTTTATCTTACAGGGTTACACCAAATCCATTGATATCTGGTCGGTGGGATGTATCCTGGCTGAGATGCTTTCCAACAGACCAATTTTTCCAGGCAAACACTATTTGGACCAGCTCAACCATATCCTTGGTAAGATACTATTTTTCTTGGTTTTATATGAAGAAAACCAGGAGATGTGCTTTATTTCAAGGTTCCTAATCCTATAATTTAATGTCTGCTTGTCCCAAATCTAGTTTGAGGGACAGGAGATGATTTTTTCCCATTACTTTTACAGTTACCATCTCTTTATATGAAATTGCTAATGTTTGTAGAGAATGGAAATAAAGTGTGTGCTATTTTGAAATAAAATAAAACCTGGATCTACATAGTTAAATGGGGAAATGAACAGTGGACTGAAGCACAATTGGAAAGTATGGTATATAATAAGCAGAGATCCTATTGTGATGTAGGTTAAGCAAATCTCGGGAACAAAGTTCTGAGAGCACAGTCACAATTGGCGGGGAATTGAAAACCAATGGACACTTTAGGGTGAGATGATGGGGAAGGTTAACTACAGAACTTTTACCTGATTGTCTCACTACAGATGTTGAAACTTCGAAGTGAAGTCGTGGGTAAATGTAGTTGCTGTTGGTGATCAGTGATCTGGTTAAGAATTGGGGCAACTGGAATTTCGTGGGATGCAGGCCCAAGTAGAATCATCTGCCTAGGGTCGTATCAACAGCCAAGAGAGAAATCTGTAACCTGCCCTGTAACGTAAAATTATATTATAAAGCTCAAACAGCTGAGCTCCTGAAACAACCAGGCGGAGGATATTATAGACTAACGTTAGGGGGGATAATCCCAGTTTCACTGCAAGTTTTTAGCCATGTTTCATTGTAGTTTGGAAAATATTGGCATCCTGATTCACATGATGACTGGAACAAAGCGACCATATTAACGCACCTTTGAAAGTAAGAAACCTGTAAAGTATCTGCTAGTGAGCGCATGGAATGTGGATTCCAGCCTTCAATATTAAATGGACAGATTACTGATTCACGAGGGCGTGGTGTTAGGGCAGCTTTTATGGGCAGTAAACTGAGTTGGCCGAATGGTCTTTTCTCATTCCATCCTTGTGCGCTTCCACAGCAGATGCAGTGAATGCATTATTCATGAGCATCTTCTCTTCACATAATTAAAATATCAGTGTAACATGCTGTCTATTTTCAGGTATTCTTGGATCCCCCTCTGCAGAGGACCTGAACTGTATAATCAACGCTAAAGCCAGGAACTATCTGCAGTCTTTGCCTACCAAGAGCAAGGTACCATGGAATAGACTGTTCCCTAAGGCTGATGCTAAAGGTAAGAATGTTGCCCAAAAGACGCACAGGAGTCTTATTGCAGATTAGCATAGACTAAACTAAGCTCTCGCCCACACAAAAAGTCAGCCCATGCTTTTCCAGCCCTATCTTTGTAAATAGTTGTAGTTCATGGCATGTGTTTTGCTTGTGCTGCAGCAGCCTAGGGGATGGCCTTTTCACAAGGCACTGGAGAGCAAGGGCATGGTAGGATACTGAACAGGAACGACTCCACCTCTTGTGAATTTCCTTTTGGGGTTATTCCTGCAACTCATTCATAGGAACCCGGTTGTTAGTCGATTGGCGGATCACTTTTCCGGGGATAATAGTCCATTTTTTAAAAAAAATAAATTTTTATAATAATTTGGTCACTCAATCCACGACTGTTTGTGGGACGCTGCTGTGTGCAATTGGCTTCCCAATTTCACCCATAAAATATACAGTCAATTCACTTTACAGTGTATCCTGTGAAGCGGTTTGAGACGTCTCAAAGACTTGATAAAGCACTATATCAAATGTAAGGGTTATTATTATTACTTTATTAAAAGCATCTTTACGCCTTTCTGCAGGCTGAATTTCTCCCTGCCATAGACGAGTGAGTTCTGCTGTGAACAAAGTGGGAGCAGAGCAGTTGCTCTCTTCTCATCCACCATGACGGAAGATAATTTAATTTCTTGTTCCGATTTGAATGTGCAGTTAACTTGCTTTCTCGCTCCTCTTTCCTCCACACCCCGAACAGCAACAGTGGGTGATGTGTTTTCCAACCCATTTGTTATGGAGTTGCTTAGCCACTTAGTCTAATGCACCACCGGGATGTATTTAGCAGTGCTTACTGCTGCTCACTCTCCCTGCTCGGGTCTAAATCCTTGTTCCTCCAGTGCCATAGGACGTCCTCCCGACGTGAAAGATGCTATACAAATGTAGTTTGTTGTTGTTTGAGCATGCAAAAACTGTTTATGAGTTTTCCCAATGGGAGTAGGTTAATCTTTATTTTTCTCTCTCTCTTATGCTTGCCCTTGTATTGCAGCTCTGGATTTATTGGATAAAATGCTGACCTTTAATCCCCACAAACGGATTGAAGTGGAGGCTGCTCTTGCTCATCCTTACCTGGAGCAGTACTATGACCCCAGTGATGAGGTGAGATGGTGTCTTAATTTGATAGTGTTCAGGCTGGATTTTCTTGGAAATCATTTGCATCTTTTTTCGGACGAGGAAACCAGTTATTAGGAAGTTCATTTGCAATTTTTTTTCATTCTGGTGTTGATCTGTGAGACAGTAACTCCTGATACGAAGATAAGAAAATGCTAGACGAAAACAAGCCAAAGTTCCATCTAGTTCACCTTCCATCTTCCTGGCGATCGCTTGCACATAAGTCCCAAACTCCCTGTGTGCTATATCCCACAATGTAACTTCGTAAAAGAAAACTAGTCTGTATTTGAAAGAATCAACATTTCCTGCTTCAACCGTCTCCCTCGGGAGCCTGTTCCACAGGTTCACTGTTCGCTCACTGAAATAGTGTTTGCATAGATTTGTTCAAAATTTACCCCTTTCAATCGCAGGCCGTGTCCTCTGGTTTTACCATTCTGAACAGGTTGAAATAGCCTGTCATGATCCAGATTGTCTAGCCTCTTTAGAATGTTAGACAGCGATCATAGCGATATGGAAGCTCAAGAGTGAATATAGGTGCCTTAGCATCAAAATGCTATTTCTGCTTCTGGGTAAGGTTGCGGGGGATCAATGCGGGGGTTGCAGATCAATGAAAACTTTACAAACGTGGTGGGTCTGAGTTCTTTTAATGTTCGGGTCTATTGCAGAGTTGATTTTCTTTTGTTGTTTTTGGAAAACGTAACATAAGGCACTAAAAGCCACAGTTGATGGAGGTTTGAGGCAGTCAGCGCAGGGTTTGATGGCTCCATCCTTTCATGTCTTGTTTGAAGTGAATAATATCAAACAGTTGGTATTGCATGCTTTTATATCCCAGGGTTATTGAGCCATGTTTTCACAACCACAAATGGCTTAAAATATTGGTTTATTCATGTGTGTGAATCCATGTGAACTCTCTCCTGTGTCTGTCTATGGCTGAGCTTCGGATTGAGAACCTACCTCAACTGAAAGAAATAAAGGGGGAGTATTAGATGCATAGGAAGGTACCTTGGATTTTGTTAGGATCAGCACCCAAGTAGCTAACATACCTTATGGTGGGAGGAAGGATACAAAGACCTTATACACATGAATATATATCCATCTTTCTGGTTTGTGGGCTTAAGCTCCATATCTATCATTCTTTGCATTCTGTCTAGGCTGACCCTCCATTGTACTCCAATGGGATATGCTGCATTGTCGCGAGTTCCAGCCTTCAGATGAGACTTTAAACTGAGGTTTTGTTTACCTGTTCAGGTGGATGTTAAAGATCCCTTGGCACTATTCGAAAAGAAAAAGGAGTTTTTCCGGGTCGTCAATTTAGGGGAGGATAAATGTCTTAAATAAATGCTTGCTGTGCCATTTCACGTTGTTGAATCATCTCAAAGCTCTTTCCAGTATTTGTTGTAAAAAAATAATAATTTGGTCACTTCAATCCACAACCGTTTGTGGGACATTATTATGTGCTGCCGTGTTTCACCCACAAAATGTACAGTCAATTCACTTTACAGTAGATTCTGTGCAGGCTTTGAGATGTCTAAAGGATGTGATGAGTTGCTTTATCAAATGCAAGGATTATTATTAAAGTGTACTAATTGTTTTTGTAGGCAAATACAGTGTGCATAGCATTATCCCACAAACCGATGAAATGAAATGACCAATTTTATCTGGTGGCTTGTTGGCCAGGAAACTGGGAGAAAAGTTTCTTATAGTATGGGATTTTTAACATCCACTTGAAAAGCCAGGCAGAACCTTGTTTAATGAATCGTTCAAGGACAGCGTCTCTGACAATGCAGTGTTTTCCCCCATCACTACATTGGAGTGAAGTGTAAGTTTTGGAGGAGAGTGGAACAAAAATGTTGTCCTTCCTTTTTCTCTATTCACCCACAAAATACACAGTCACTACACTTTACCGTATATCCTATGAAGCGCTTTGAAATGTCTCAATGACGTGATAAAGCGCTATATCAAATGCAAGGATTATTATATTATTTATTATTAGTATTATTCGCACTCACTTTCTGAAGTGGTAGTAATTTTTGATGGTTTTTCAGCCGGTGGCAGAGGCACCCTTTAAGTTTGACATGGAGCTGGACGACCTTCCCAAGGAGAAGCTGAAGGAGCTGATCTTCGAGGAGACGGCCAGGTTCCAACCCCTGTACCAGCATTCCTAAACTACACACGCCCTCGCTTTACAGGTACGCACTGTCATTGCCTCCTCTTTGTCCCGGGCACCAAAGGGTGGCAACCGCAACCAACTGCTTTGAGTTAAAGTTTGAAGGTGCACTTCAGAAATATCTTTTCATTGTAATTTAGGCCGTTGACACTAAATCAATTTTAGTAAATCAACACTGCTCACGCACTCACACACTCACACACCAAAGCTGTTATATCCTTCTTACGGTTTTGGTGCCAAAAACTGCACACAATACTCCAAATTAGTTCTGACCTGCGATCTATACAATTATAACATCATTTCTTGACATTTACATTCCAGCGCCCTTGTGATAAATGCCTATAATAAGTAAAGAGGTCTGTTTGCCTGTGCACCTTCCTCAGTCATTGAGGCTGGTCTAGGGAGTGTTGGTTGTCCTCGGATTCACCTGTATGGACTGGACCTGGCTCAGGTTCCCCTCAGGAACCCCAGCTGCTGGTAGAATCCTGAACAGGGTGAACGTCTTAAAATGCCCTCAACAAGGTCAGGCTCCCAGCACTGGGGAATGGGCCAGGTTTACATCCTGGGCATTTAGTGTCTGCACTGAGCACTACCCACAGTAAATATTTTATGGCAAGACAATGAATAAAGCTCCTTGTGGGACTAAATCCAAATGGGGAATTTTTAATTTTTTTCATTGAGTCAACCTTGTCTGTCATGACCAAGTGAATAGAAGTTTTTGCTAAAAGCCTTCTTACTGTGTGTGTCAGTGCTTGGTGCTGTTAGTGGGCGCTGAGGTCCAAGTGGTGTCAAATAGAAAATAACTTTTAGCCCCAGAGTGGTTTGTTTCTTCATTAGATTCCAGTATTCTGAGCCTGATTTAGTATCAGTGTGGATTAACGTCAGGTTGCTCACTATTGAGTGTCTACACATTGATGTCCCTTTCAGCCAGTTGAGTTCTTAACAATCTGTTGCTGTGTAAATTTATGCTCTGATGAATTTCTTTTCTAATTTCCTCAACATGTTGTCTCCACAGGGCCAGGACTGCAGGACTGGACATGCTCAGAGTTTGTTTGTTTCTAACTCCTCCTGAATCCTGTCTCGTGGTGCATCTCAGCTTGTTCATTGTACTTTGTACTCTCTTAAAAACTCTGCCGTGGCACCTGTAACCATGGAGACTGTCCATTCTGGAAGCCATGGCGCTTTGTGCTTACTGTGGACCTCCTTCTCCACTCTGAGGCGAAAATTCACACTCCAGTGTATTGGTGTCTGCAAAGTCTGAACGCTGTGTCTCTCTGTACAGCCAGTATACACACACACACACACACACACACACACACACACTAGTTGATCTATCTCCTTTAGCTCAGTGACGGTGTTTGAAAGAAAGCAGGAATGGCTCATTCGACTATTAAACACACGTACCTTTCTTTTCTGTAAGCACTTCAGCTTGATTTTTTTTCAAAAGAAATGCACTTTGAGAAATATCGAAGTATAACTGTGATCACTCAGTATTACAGCAACTTGGTATATGGTTACGTGAGTGGAGATGGTCTGTAGCAGTCTCACATTGTTGTAGACATTGAGTGAGCTTTCTAAACCTTGTTTATTGCTGTGGGATTCACACAAAGGCCTAATGAAATTTTTAATTACCCAGTGAGAGGGGAAAAGGATGTTACTCTATAGCCTGCATTCTTTTAAACCAGTCTTGCTCTGTTGGTTGGTTGTGTAGATTGTGTGCACTTGTACACTGTATACAGTAAAGACGGCAGTCCTGCCAAGGTGCCTCCCTCACTGATTTTATGGATTAAAAAAATAAAATATATAATCCTCGAAATGTTATGTAATCTTTATCGAACAAGAACACTATTGTGTTTTATTTGCATTTTCTTTTAACGACATTCCATTTGATGTATGAAAACAAACACAAAAGAACACCTTGATTCCACTCTAGAAAGTTCGACTTCACCATACAGATCCGAGTTTGAAGTCTTATCTGTTCCAAACAAGCGTTCAGCCTCATATTTTTAACAGTATTCTGTGTTATATGGTAATAACCGGTTATCCTCTTATTACAGGATGTATAAACAGAGGGTGCTTCACGTTGAAAATGTTTAAATGTTGTGAAGGAAACCTCAGTGAGTGGGTCTCCTTGAGACACAGTTGACATTTAAGATCAGGAGACCCTGTCTGCTTTTGGCATTGAGAACGAAAGGTGCCCTAGATTCCTGTCCCTTTCTATGTTTGCAGAGTGTTTTTGTGGATGAGCCTGTACAATGTAGAGCTTAAATTAGCTATGTTTAAATTCAAAGTGCAGTGCCTGATCCCTAGTCTCAAAACCTTTTGTGGTGACAATTGCCTTGTACAATTTACTGTGTCCAAGCATGACTGTTAAGCTTTGTATACAAAGACTGTCCAAGTGCCACACACACTTACTCCGCACGCGCGTGTGCACATGCATACCACAGACACATAGTATGGATAAATCTTATCGCTTCTCCAAGCTACGCCCTAACTCCTCTTTCTCTCTGGTTTGCTTCCTGTATAAATCATGTAACAATTTCGCTTTGTTCCTTTCTAAAAACGAGCCGCCTTTTGCAGACTTCTCGATGTAACTGTATAGAGCACTCTTGTTTCTATAACGTAACTTGTTCAGTTGGCTTTTTGTTCTGGTTGGTCTGTTGGTGCCTTTATCAATTGTGTACCCTTCAGAGTAAACTCAAACACATGATTAGTTGGAAAGCGATGATGATGATGATGATGATTTTTAAAAAGAAAAAACCTGTTCAACAATAGGTGTCAAAATGTGATGTACTGCATAGACATACCTGATTGTATTGTGACTGGTATTGGGTTAAGCATTGTGATTGGTATTGGGTTAAGCATATTATATATATGGACAACTTGTAGGTACAAAAAGATTTATTTTGCCTTAAGTTTTTTTTTCAATGTTGTATATGTAAACAAATTTTAAATCTGTTAATGAATGTTCTTTTTTGTTTCTGGCACATACAGCTCTTGTAAAATTCTTTAAATTGATGTCTCCCTGCATCTTTTAAATACAGTATGTTCTATACACAACTTCCAACAGCGTATGGGACTGATCCCTTTCATAGTTCTGTTCCACATGCATCACTTCTTTTCAATATTGATCGCCACACTTTAGCGGGAAGACAGAATAGATCAAATGGTGGAGCTGCCCTTAAAAGGGGTGGTGAATAGGATAAAGCTTCCCATTTCCAATTGAAGCCCTATAGCTAATAAGTAATAATAATCCTTGCATTTGATATAGCGCCTTGTCACATCTTTGAGATGTCCCAAAGTTCCCAACACTGGAACCTTGTGTGCTCCATTCCTCATGCTGCCCCTTTTCTTTATCCCTATTCTGTTTTTCCTCCTCCTTCTCACTACTGCCCCCAACCCTCCCACCCCCCCCCCCCCTTCAGCTCCAAATGTGGGCAATACAGAAGCCATCTGGTGCTTGCCAATGCCACTTAACCTTTCTGGCCTCTCAAAATTACCAAAATTGTGCATAAGTGAGATGTAATCGATGTTTATTTGGATTTTAGGGAGACCTTTGACAATGTCCACAGCAAGGCTTGTGGCTGAATGAGAGGTGCGTGGAACAGATGGAAAGTACTAAAGTGGACAAAGGAATGTTTGAAGGACAGATGTGTATGTATAATCGATGATCTGGTGCAGCACTTAAGGGAACATCTAAATCTGCAGTTGCTGAATTAGGAGCTGTTAACAGAGACAGTTGGCGTTAGCAAAGTGGGAAAATTTGTGAAAAATGGAGCTCAGTATAGAAAATGTGAAGCAGTATATTTTGGGGGGAGAATCTGTGGAGTGGTATGATACCCAGAGAGGTAAAATGCTCAGTAGAATGGAAGAACAGAAGGATATGGGGTAGAGATGCAGTTCATTCAAGATTGGTGTTCCAGGTGAAGTTCTTTTAAAAGGCAAATAGGATTCTAGGTGTTTGATATAACAGTAAGGAAGTGATGAGGAGGCTAATAAGACATTTGATTGGAGCACAGAGCAGTGGAGAGGATCACAAGGATGACAGCAGAGATGAACGGTTAACTATTAAGAAAACTGGAGAGATTTGGACTCCTCCACTTGGAGCAGATGTGGTTTAAGATAATGAAAGGGTCAGGGAGTTAATACAGGAGCAAAAATCTTTCCAGTGAGGGATTCAAGGGCATAAATGCAAGATTTCCCACCCTGAGCTCTGCAAGCCTATCACCCTCTCCCCCCACCCTCACCCCCTCAATCTTGCCCGGCTCCACTGGCGACTCATCTCTCAGTTGATCAAGCTCAAGATCTTCATCCTGTCTTTCAAATCTCTTCATGGTCTTGCTCCACTCTACCTCTATGATCTTTTAAAAACCTACTCATCCCACCTGCCCCCTCCGCTCAGTGTTCGGGCCTTCAGCCTTTATGTGCTCACTCTCTGAAACGCATCCCGGACAGAGTCAGTTCACCTCAACCCTTGCCTCGTCTCTTTCAAGGTCTGTCTCAAGACCTTCCCCTTTGACTGAGCCTTTGGTCGTCTGCCCATTCCAGCCCCCACTTGGCCAACACTCCTCCCGAATCCAACCCCCAGCTCGGGTGCAAACCTGTGAAGAGAACCAGGGTAACGTCTCCAACTTGTCCCGGAGAGCTTAACCGTGGCGGATACGCTTCGTGCAAATTGCAGCAACTGCAGCTTCACATTAAATTAGAGATTTATCTCTGCTGTTAGCAGTTCAGCCCCCGTTCCAACTTGGGGGTTTCTTGTTTCATGTGATGTAAGAAAGGATCTTGTTTAATCATTACCTTGGCCCACATAATATTTGGCAAAGCGACAGGAAGGTTCTTCATTACATCCACTCCGAATTGGGTAGGAAACCCAAATTTGCCAGGAAATATGTGAAAATCCCATCAACCACCACAGATAATATTAACTTTCAGCTTTTATTTTTAGTGTCAAACCAACGCTATATCCCGTTCCCTTGTAACCAGCTCAAATTGTAAACAAACCTAATTAAGCTCAACAGGAGTTTTTAGTGGAATTTTGTAAAATGCTCATCAGTGATTAAACCAGAAAAGGTGATATTGAGAAATCACATCCCACATGTCTGACCCCTGAGTAACTGCACAACTGAGTATTTATGTGCAGGTTTTTTATTATTTGTTGCCCAATGAACAGGATCTTGGGGATCCAACTGCGAGGGATGGGGTAAAATATGGGATGGAGACCTGTAGCTCAGTGGTTTGAGCACTCTTTCACATATTTTCACATATTTCCTGGCAAATTTGGGTTGGGCCCACAGAGCAGTAGAATGAGGAGATTGAATACAATGTAAGCGAGAGACCTGGGTTCGATTCCCGGCAGAGTGAAACCTTGGGAAGTTTCCTTACTCCACACACCTGATCATAATCTCTCAAGAAATAAAAAAAACAGTAATGAATTGGTCACTTCAATCCACGACAGTTTGTGGGGCACTGCTGTGCGCAAGTGGCTGCTGTGTTTCACCCACAAATGTACGGTCAATTCACTTTATCGTACATTCCGTGAAGAGCTTTAAGACGTCTCGAAGATGTGATAAGACGCTATATCAAATGCAAGGTTTATTATTATAAATAACTAGAAGGAAGAGACAAAAAGTTGAAACCAGAACACTCCCTCAGTGTGTCAGCCCAGCGCAGTGCCTCTGAGACACAAGATTGTGGGTTTGAGCCGCAGGTGGGGCTTGGAATTACGTAGTCGAAGCTGACACTCCAGTGCAATGCTGCGGGGACGTTGCATTGTCAAATGTGCTGTACTTCGGATGAGATGTTAATCCGAGGTCCCATCTGCCTGTTCGAGTAGATGTTAAAGATCATGTTGTACTATTCGAAAAGAGAAAGGAGTTTCTCCTGGTGTCCAGGACAACAATCCCCAGATACAACTGGTCACAACTGGCTGTTGCCTTTCCCCACAGATCAATCCACTTTACAGTCTATTCTGTGAGGTGTATCAACAACATGATAAGGTGCTGTAACAAATACAGCGATTATTATTATTATTATCTACCACATAGTAGGTTCTGAGAGCTGGTCAGTTGACATTTGTCAGGTGAATATTTTTTTTTGGCTGGGGGAGGGGGGGAGGAGAGTGGGCTTTGGTTCACAAGAAAGCGTGTTGCTGCTTCAGAATGGGAGGTTGGTCAGTGGCAGCAAATGACAAGTGACCGTCCCTGATCTTTGCTCTGCACTTGGCTGCGGAGCAGAGCAGAGGCTGGTGGCCTACTCAGCTCACAGGCAATAGTGAGGAGGGGGTGTTTGGGGGGGGGGGGAGGAGAAGGCGGAACAAACGTTTTAAGAAGAACATAACCTAAAGTTCTTCGACAAAACAAATTCCTTCCAGATTAGTTTTTTCGTATTACAGTTGTGAGTGGTTTGTGGATTATTTGATGGTTACTAATGCGATTACTGCCGCAGGTTTATGGTGGGGTTTAGCTGTTCCCTTGAAAGAAGTACAACCTACAAACCTTGTGCCAACAGGATTGGTTTTGCTTGCTTCCCGCCTGTTGGGAAAAAAAAAGCTTGTGTGGAACATTGTGGAGCCTGGAAAGTGTGCGTCTACGGTTGCATTTTCCCATCTCCTGTCGTTTTTCTCTTTGAAATGTTTTATTTTTGTGATAAAGGTCAGCTCACTCGACGATTGTGATAGTGGCGGGCGGTGTGTGTCACAGCTGCTGGCATGAACCGATTAATCTGCTGCCACGGTAACTCGAGCCTCGTCGCTGAATCCATTGATAAAATATTTTTAACCTCAAAATTAATTTCCTCTCATCCACGCCTCCAATACGGAAGCTAGAAGCGAGTCAACCATCAGCAGCTGTAAAGCAAATTGACTGTATATTTTGTGGGCAAAACCGGCCGCCAATTGTGCACAGCAGAACATTTGTAAAGCGCCTTTCATGTTGGGAGAACGTCCCAAGGTGCTGAACAGTCGGAGATCAGGGCCCGGGGGTGGGGGGGCAGGGTTGAGTTGAGGGAGCGCAGAGAGGAGAAGAGTGTGGCTGAAGGTACGGTCGAACAGGAGAGTCTTGAGTTGTGCCGTGAATAACAACAAGATTACATTTGTATAGCGCCTTTCACGTCGGGAGGACATCCCAAGGCGCTGGACAGAGTACAGCATTTCAGACCCGAGCTGGGGTCAGGGAGGGAAGGTGGCCGATGGCATGGTCGAAGAGGAGGGTCTTGAGGCGGGACTTGAAGGAGGTTAAGGAGGGGGTGAGGCGGAGTGACTTGGGGATAGAATTCCAGAGGTTGGGGGCAGAGTGGCTGAAGGCTCTCCTGCCAATGGTGGGGCGGGTGGGTCAAGGGACGTGGAGCAGCCAGAGCCGACTGAACGGAGGGAATGGGCGGGTTGGTAGGGGGTTAGGAGGTCGCAGAGATAGGGTGGGGCAAGGCCATGGAGGGCTTCACATGTGAGGACTAGGATCTTGAACTGGATCCTCTGAAGGATAAGGAGCCAATGGAGTCGGGGGAGATGGGGTCACTGAGTTTGGTGCGGGAAAGGACATGGGCTGCAGAGTTCTGGATTATCTGCAGCCTGTGAAGGGAGGAGTTGGGAAGGCCGACAAGCAGGACGTTTGCGTAGTCGAGCCTGGAGGTGATGAAGGCATGAACAAGAGTTTCAGCGGCCTGAGGGGTGAGGTAGTGGCGGAGTCGGGCGATGTTACGGAGGTGAGGGAAGGCAGAGCGAGTCATGGCTTGAATGTGGGGGAGAAAAGACAGTTGAGGGTCGAACAAGACCCCCAGGGTCCTGACTGGCTGGTGAGCTGTAGTATGTAACCATGGAGGTTGATGTTGCCAGAGCCTGAGGTGCAGAGGCGCTGGCGCGAGCAATCAGGAGGGCCTCAGTCTTGTTCACATTCAACTGTAGGAAATTTGCCCTCATCCAGGACTTGATGTCTGACAGGCAGTCTGTCAGGACAGCAGAGGTCCTGGAGTTGAGGGTGGAGGCAGAAAGATAGAGTTGGGTGTCATCTGCATACATGTGGAAGTTGACCCCATGTCTGCGGATGATGTCACCGAGGGGGAGC